GCGCGCCTAGAGCCCGTGCTCCGCAACGAGAAGCCACCATAATGAGAAGCACACACACCACAGCGAAGAGTAGCCCCTGCTCACCATAACTAGAGAAAGCCTGTGTGCAGCAATGAAGACCCAATGCAGCCAAAAATTAATTAATTAAAAAAATATATGGCACCTAGACAGCAGTTTCTGACTTGGCCTCTCCCTGCTTCCCACAAAGCATACATGGAGACATTGAAGGTGATGAAAAGCCTTAACACTGAGATCTACCACTGGCCATGCTAGACTCCGGGGGTGGGAGGGTACAGAATTTCAGTCAACTACCATGAAACTCAACTGTGAATCGTAATTTAAGGACCAAAGCTTGTCTGTAGCTTGAAGTGAGGCAGAGCGACCAAGTCCGGAGCCTCAGCCAAGAGACCCAAAGCTTGCGTCTCAGAACACAGCAGAACAGAACCCAGCCGGCTGTCACTGCCTCTGGAAGCAGCCAATGCACTCTAACCCCAGTACCTCTGTTTCCAGGACATTCTGAGAGTCCCCCAAAACTACAGGGCAAGTGGTGAAGGGGAAGAAGGGAACTCACTCACAACACACTGGGAAGTTCAGCTCTGATTCCTAATATATCATGGGCGGGGTGGGGGTGGGGGTGAAGAAAGAACGTGGCCTGGAGATGGCTTTCCAAGCTCTCCCTCAGTTCATCTCACTGGCTAAATGCACAACACATCAGGACATTCAGAGGTTGCTAGGCACTGGAAATTGGGCTGGGTGCTGTGTACATGAAAGACCCCCCCAACTGAACATCTGAGGTGGTCAATCCACCAACACCAAAATGTACATGATCTCCAGTCATCGACTGGGCTCTCATCTTACTGCATCTCTGGGTAGCCTTTGACACAGCAGGTCCCTTCCGCCTTGAAATATGCTCTTGACTTGATTTCCAGAACACCAGTGTGTGGGTTCTTCTCCTGCCTCTGCATCTCTGATCTCCAGTGCTGGAGGACCCCAGGAATTGCTCCTTCTGAGATATTCTTCGCTCTAATTACAGTCAGAACCCAGGTGATGTCCTCTTGATTCTCAGCTTAAATTCCATCCATATACTGATGACCCTATACTTACGTCCCCAACCTGGACTTCTGCCTTGAACTCCAGATTTGCACAGCCAGCTGCCCACTCGACACTGTCATTTAGTTTATCTAATACGGTTCAGACCTCACCATGTTTAAAATCCAAACTCTGATCTCCCTGCCCCACCAACCCCAACTGGGCTCCACCTACCACCTTATCCATTTTCGAAAGTGGTGGTTCCATGTTCAGCTCCTCAAGACAACACTTGAGACTTGGACTCTTCCCTTCCTCTTATGCTACATCCAACCCATCGCCAAATTCTGTCACTTCATCTTGGAGATACATATGCACACTGTGTAATCTGTCAACTCCTTCCTCATCACCTCCCCTGCTCCCGCCCTGCTGAAGAGAACATCTTTCGCCTGGACAATTTCAATAGATTGCAAACTCGCCTCCCTGCTTTTCCCTTAACTCTTCTGCAACCTGTTGTTTATGTGGTGGTCTGCAGTCATTTTAAAACATAAGTCAGTTCATTTCACTCCTCAGCTCAACCCTCCAATGTCTCTGTCCTGCTCAGCAGACCTGCGTCTTCCTCCCCACACCTCCTTGCTCACATCACTCTCACTTGATCCGTCCCAACCACATGGGCGCTTCCTGAGCACACCAAATATTCTCCTGCCTCAGGACTGTTGAACTTGCTATTCTCTATATCCAGATGCATTCCCCTCAGATATCTGTAAGGTCTGCTCCCTCAATCCTTCAGGCTTTGGCTCAAGTATCAGAGAGGATGTCTCTACAACCCATATAAAAAGGCACCACGGAACTTTCATTGCCAACACTCATGGAGCCTCCTCGCCCTGCTCATTTGTGCTTCAACGCCCTTATCTCCACATACATGTTACATTTCATTGCGTTTATCATTGTCTCCCCCGACTGGAAATCTAAGCCCAGTCAGAGACAAGACTTTGTATTTCTTTATTGCACTATCTACAGTGCCTAAAACTGTGCCTGGCACATACCGCTTGAATAAAGAATGTTGAATGACTGAATCTTTCCTTGTTCCTAAATGAAGTTACAAATTCTCATGGGCATATACAAAGGTGCTATAACACCGGTGTCTTCGAAGAAAATCTCTGAAAGCTGTCCTAACAACTTGTACTAACAAAATTATTATCACTTAACAAGATAACATGAGAGATGAGGAAAAAGGTCATAAGAATGTACAGAGAAGAAAAAAAAACAGTATACAAGGTTAAGATGAAAAGACAAAGGATTTAGATGAAAAGGAGTACTGATCAGTAAAGATGTTGGATGAGAAAACTAAAACTGTGAGGTAAGAATTAAAGCTTGTACTAGAGGCAGGAACAAGCAGAATTAACAAGACAGAAATTGAAGCAGTAGTTTATTTATTAATTTATTCAGCTACTGCATACTGAGGGCTACTATATGTCAGGCAGAGAACAAGGCAACGGAAATTCCTGTGTAGTGCTAGTGGGAGCCTAAGTCGGTAGCATCTTTCTGGAAACCACTGTGGCAATATGTATAATGACAGCCTTGAGATGCATAACCTCTGAGACAATAATCTCATATCTATGAAAATAATATAAAGAGGGCTTCTCTGGTGGCGGTTGGGAGTACGGAAATTCCTGTGTAGTGCTAGTGGGAGCCTAAGTCGGTAGCATCTTTCTGGAAACCACTGTGGCAATATGTATAATGACAGCCTTGAGATGCATAACCTCTGAGACAATAATCTCATATCTATGAAAATAATATAAAGAGGGCTTCTCTGGTGGCGCAGTGGTTGGGAGTCCGCCTGCCGATGCAGGGGATACGGGTTCGTGCCCCGGTCCGGGAAGATCCCACATGCCGCGGAGCGGCTGGGCCCGTGAGCCATGGCCGCTGAGCCTGCGTGTCTGGAGCCTGTGCTCCGCAATGGGAGAGGCCACAACAGTGAGAGGCCCGTGTACCGCTAAGAAAAAATAATAAATAAAATAATAATAAGAAGAAGAAGAAGAAGAAGAAGAAATAGATATGATCATGGAGAGTCCATCACAGACTTTATACTAGAAATATATGCATACATATAGTATATATAACCATGTTATATATATCACAGGGAGCTCAGCTTGGTGCTCTGTGGTGACCTAGATGGGGGGGGAGGGGGGAGGGAGGTCCAAGAGGGAGGGTATACAGGTATACAAATAGCTGACTCACTTCATTGTACAGCAGAAACTAACACAACATTGTAAAGCAATTTTACTCTAATAAAAAATAGAAATAATGGGGAAAAAATAAAAGTAACTGTTATATCACTTTAAAAAGAATAAAATCTATTTGTTTAAAAAAAGTGTTAAATATTAGAAACAACTGAGATGCATGCAGTCGAGGAACTGTCAGGTAAGTATTAACAGCACCAAAAAATGGAGCATTATGCAACCATTAATAAAAATATATAGAAATGGTTTTAAGAACATGGAAAAATTCACAAGCCAATGTTAACTAGGAACACAGGATAAATAACTGTGTACGGATTGAGTTTAAACACAGAGCTCTTGTCTTTGAAGTTTGGAATTGAGAACTATATTCCTTACGCTTTAGGTACTCGATAAATTTTCATCAAAAAACACACCTTACTCTAATAATCAGAAATAAAGAATACTAAACAAAAATAAAAACTGGAACTAAATTTTTTATTTTCTCCCACATTACAGCTTCTTATATATTTCTAACCTATCCCAGTACAGTTCTCATATCCTAGAATCAACCACTCCAGTTTCCTTATTATGAAGGATTCAAGCAAGCTTATATTTTTGCTCAAAACATGCTAAAGTCTTGTGTTCTTGCACTCTCACTCCAGATTTCTAAAACATTATAGATTTTTTTTAATCCTATAGATTTTCTAAACTTATCACTGAGGAAGTAAAAGAACATGTAAAGGTTCTATGCAAATCATCCAAGAATTCACCATTCAGTTCACCTCTCACCATAAAAACGTATTGCATTCAAAAACAACTTTCCATCAAAAATAAAGTTTCTTGTTAAAATTTTTCAGGAAAAACAATATCACGATTGCAGTCATAGTTTCATACGTATATACACATGTCAAAACCTGTCACTGTACAGTTTAAATATGTGCATTTTATTGTATGTCAATTTATTCCTCAGTAAATATGCTAAATAAAACATAGTATCAAGAAAAGCCACACACTGAAACATAATTAAAAGGCTTGGAAGGTAGACAAACACAGACACACACAGAAGAAAAAGAACCACTCTTTAAATGCATCAGCAAGTTTATTTACAAATGCAGTTGAACAGAAAGGCTCACTAGTTTCTGGAGAAAACTTCTGGCATACAAACCATGATGATTTTCCATGAATGAAAAGAAGCAATTTCTACTGGGAATTGCTTAGTGACAATTCTGGTGAAGAAAACAGAGCTCCCCTCATCAAGCAAATAAAATATCATATAAGCTAAAAAAAAATTTAATAATATTACATAAATGAAAAGAAGGATACAGAAAGCAAATTTGGGGGTGGATTTTAGTGAAATTTTCCGTATTGTTCTGCATTAATTTAGAATACATTATAATAAACAGAGCAAATGCAATTACATATTTATATTAACTATTTCAAATAACGTTTCCAAAACTTAAAAAAAAAAAAACAATAAAATAACCCTCCCCAAAACACCATTAGAAAGTCAAACTAGATCATTATCAGCATCAAAAAAAAATATTTTGAAGTTCTTATTTTTCCCCTGTGCTTTTATAATGCTGAATTCAAAAAGGAAATACTGCACTTTTCCCCACACGTAATTACCTTCTTATAAATAAACAACAAAAATACAGGTTCTACCAAGACTATAATGCTCTGATGTAATCTAAAGAGGCCAGAAAAAGTATTATTCTTTTTCAAAAAGAGAGCAACAGGACATACAACGTATATTTATAGATCTATATCAGCAGCAACCACCTCTTCTTCTATCTGCAACAGTGCTTTCGTGTGGAGGCTTACATCACATGGCGGTTGGCCGTCCAGCTGATCAGGCAAGGAGAGAAGAAAGAAAAGTGCTTAGATTCAGAAACACTCGAATATCGCCACCTGGGATACATAGCAGGAATCGTTCAGAGAATGACCCCATGAGGTAGAAAGAGTTATCCTGTTACTCACTTAGGATAAAGCTGGGCAAATCACACCTCTGGGTTCTACAAGTCTTTCTTTGCAAAAAAAATGGAGTAAAAATTAACTGCTGATATAGAAACAAGTTACACTCAACTCTCTATTATTTGTACTGGAGGAGAGAAAAGGCATGGGCAATTTTTCCATGATGATTCCAAAAATCAATTATATTTGGCTTTGGAATTTTGACTAAAGAGAGAAAAGCTCACACACATACACACACTCCCTCCCCATTCCATGCCCAGCCTTGACACTCTCCAACCTCAGTGCTGGCATCCAGGAAAGGTGTGGACCAACGGGGTGAGAAGGCTCAAAACACGGTGACAGATAAGAGAGAGTTGACTGGGCTGAAGCCATTTCCAAAGCACTCTTCACATAAAGGCCATATAAATACCTCAGAGCTCAAAAGCATATGGTTTGGCTGATACCACTTGTAACAAACACCCTTTCACAATAAGGAAGAAACACATGTTACCAGCATCAAGGCTCAAAATATAAAAAGGAGGAATGGTTGTCTTTATGTAGCTATAAACGATATGCAATCTACTTACGCTACCCTATGTTTATAACACACTTACAGGCAAAAACATGCTTAGACACAGAATAGCATGTGAAGTTTTTGAAAAACTCAATTTTTCCAAAAATGACACTGAAACACTATGTCATCAGAATTAATGCTTAAATTATTGTATAATTTGATAGCATATGATTATAGAGTAACAAAGCATACACTGACTATTCTTTATTACCTTTTTAAACCACAGTTTTTAAAGTTGGTCATATTCTAAATCACATAATCAGACCCCATTAGTAAATAATAGAAATCAGCTAAAATGATGAGAGTTTCTTAGCCCAGAAACTGATGAGAGTCTATACAGAAGATTCATTTTGACTGTCGGTCTTGGTTGGTTTGTATGCTTGAGTCATCAGAAGTTTCTCCAGACTCAGCAGACTGCACAGCACACCGTCCTGACTCCTGGCACGCATCCCTCTCTGGTTCCTTGGTCCTACACCCACCCTTGTGTGGCTGGAATCCTGAGCACTGACCCACTGACCCGCTCACCGGACCCTCTTTGAAGGGGATACTCTGAGATTCCTGAAGCCTGGAGCTCTGGGGCAGGGAGCTTGAAGGGGAGCTGGTGGTAGGTTCAGGGAAATGCATGGGAACCCGTGGTCTCCGTAAAAGACAAGAAATTTTCTCCCTGATTTGCTCTCTTACATTTGAATCTGACATAGCAGTCGTTGCAATACAGTTGGTTGTTTCGGATTCTGACTTCGGTTCCTGAGGAAGAGCCTCCGAGGTCACGATCACAGGCCACACACTGGGAGACAAAGAAAAAAAGCAAAAACAGGAAACGTCCACACTTAGCTCAAGAAAGCTTGGGGCACTCCCAGAAAAAAAAAAAAAAATTGAGCAAAATGCAGCTTCTAAGCTCTTAGATACATTTCAGCAAAGGAAAAAGGCCAAAAGATAATTAGATGAAAAGGAAGCCTGCCAGATGAGACATTAAAGAATTCATAAAGCCAATTTTAAGAGCCAAGATATCATTCTAAATATACCAAAAGGATAGAAATGATTCGTTGATTGGTTTAAAGAAACTGCATCTTCCTTTCTCCCAGCGGAATGGAGAGGATAAAGTACCACAGGAAGGAACAGGTGAAGGGCACCAGGACTGGGTTTCTGGCTCTCTGCCCTGGGGTGGGTCACCCCAGGCATCCCCCCCAGCACCAATTCGGTGAGGTTCACTCATGGTGCTTTCCCTTCAAGGCTGGGTATTTTGGTTCCATGTGCTCAAAACATTAATAATTTTGACTCATTCTGCTATGCCTAGGAACAACCCAAGCCAGAGATAGACAAGCTTGAACAAGCTGAGCTCTAAAGGACTCCAGGATCAACCACCGGACTTTCTCTCTGGCCCAACGCAAGTTCAAGAATCAAACAGATGTGTCTCTAAAGACGTATACTGCAAACTAAGGGAGTCACAGAGCCCTACTTCTTTCTTATGTGCAAGAGCCCCTTAGGTGCAAGCAGACTGTGCAACTGTAAAAATACATTATTTTTCCTTTCATACTCTCCCTATTCAAAGCTAGGCTTTGGACACTGTTATAATTCATGTCCCCATGCTGTTAATAACCGTGGCAGCATGTTAGAGAAAGCATTTACGCACTGTAAATTTTACTTATAGAATCTTAGATTGGAAATAGGAAGTGCATAGTGCTTCCGGCTTTAAGTTTTGAAGCCAGGTTCAAGGTTTGAGAACCTAGTAGCAGTAGCAGGCCATTTGTGATTCAAAGTGCAGCACAGACCAACAGAGGCAGCACCTAGCTTGTTAGTGGCAGGTCCACACCCAGCGCTGCAAGAAGCCATGCTCTCTCCAAGCAAAGCGATGCGGCCCTGTAGGCTGTCTGGCTCAGTCTCACCTTAAAACAATGCAAATGATAACAAAGACCCAGGGACTCGATGATCATGGCGGCTCCTTTGCCCAGAATGTTATGACAATAGGAGCACACGCGCTTCCCACTGACCGACCTAGATGTAGAACAAGAATGGAAGGGTGGCTTTCATCCGAGTAGCTCAAAGCTCTTATCTAAAAATCACACTCTGGTATTAACATGAATCATAGTTTACAAAACTCTTTACTTTATATACCTGTGGCAGGAGAACTTTCACCAGCCAACCAAAGTATGCCTTGATTATACTGTACCTTGATGGATCTCCACGACGGCTCTGGAACCCTTGACACCTAGTCACATACATGAACGATTTCCGTGTAATCAGTCCATTCTGCACTTCGCGATGCTATAGCCCTCAGACCACATCTGTACTCGGCAACAGTCCCCCCTCCTCTAATGCAGCCGACATCATCTTGCCAGGTAAACCCTCCAAGGCACAGCTCTAATCATGTCCTCTGCTCATCGAACACCGAAAGAGCAGCCCCGCTTCGGAGAGGTGTTGCAAGTCTATTCAACCTACCGCCTCAACCTTATTTTCTCAACCTCTTTCTCATTCACCCGATATTCTAGGTAAACAGAAGTATCAGTGCTTTCCAGACTGTGCCTCTGGCTTACAGGACTGCCTCTGCGGAGAATGACGTGAAAGCTGCCTGACAGCTACCATTTAGATAGGTAAGGCAAGTTTCTACTTTGCTTTGTTTACAAGGCTTATCTCTTCTCCCAGGACGAAAGGTGAAGGCTACGTCTTATCTTTGCATCCCACTGGACTGGCACAGCACTTCAGTGACATTGGAAAGGGCATAGCTGTTGAGTGCCTCACGTTAGAGCACCACGTGCTCTAGATAGAGACCTTTTCAGGGCAGAGAAGTCCACAGCCCCGTCTCCTTTCTGCTTTCCGAGGGCAGGGTTCTCAGTAAGGAACCGGGTACTCTCCTCTGGCTTCTCCCCGACTCTGCAGCCCCCATCTTCCCTCTAAATTTACCAAAAATCCTCATCTCTTCTTTTCTTAATTTAAGCTCCCTGATACACATTTTATAAATCCTGGCACAAAAGCAACATTTTAGCTAGATAAAAATATCTTCTCCGAATGAAATCCTTTAGTTGATAGCTTAAAAAAAAAATCCCAATATTAATCACTGTGTTTCTACTTTTCCGTATTTCAATAGTGATGAAAAGTAGCATAGGCCAGTAGCTCTCCCTTCAGGTCTCAACAGAAACACTGCTGCATGTGGCTTTGTGAAGCATCAGTGATCTGTGGAGAAGCTACACAGATATAACACCCCAACACATGTTGATAATCTGAGCTTTAACCCGTACCAAAAGGCAAGTGTCAAGACCCACCATTATAACTCTCACACAGTTCCCGCAGCATATGACCTGCAGAATTCAGTTGATGTAGTCTGAGTAAGATGTTGGAAAACCAGATAAGAGACAAGCAATGGTCTTGGAAATCAAAAACCCAAAATGCCATATCTAACTTAAGAATTTTTTAAGCCAGCTTGTTCAAAGTTCCACAGACGATGGGACTGGGTTATCATGCTTTCCTTTTATACTCAGTTCCTATAAAATGATTTTATATTACAGTCTCATCAAAACAGTCAAACATTTTACAATATTGCTTTTACTCATCAATTTGTCATGCATTCTTGAGCTACTGTATAGTTTTATGATTCCACAGTGAGAACTGTTCAGGTCCATCTGCATCTAAGACACTGACCACAGGCCCAAGTAAATGAGGCAGCGGCAGTGAAGTAAACTTTTTAAAGGCCTCCAATGGCTTCATAAGACATCCATAAATGCCCTTGGGTTGGCACGGAAAGATAGCAAGGAACTGATTTGGGAAAGGAACACTGAATCTGACACACTCAAAAAGGCTTGTTTTTCTTTTTTCATTGGAAAGCTTGGACAAGATTTTGGGAAATTTTTACTGAAAAACGACCCCTTGAGACGAAGGGGAGAAGAGAGAAAACCCAAAGGGCCTCACCTGCTGCGTGGCTGGCAGCCGGGCTGCGGAACCGCAGGGGAATGGCTGCGCGGTACGGGGGACGGGGCGGTGGTCTTCCCGGAACCCGCTGAGGGAGGGGGTACGTTGGAGGAGGGGTTCCGCATGTAGGCACGGTTCGAAGTGGACAGCAGCTGAGGTGGGGGGCGACTGAAGTCTTGGACGGAGGAAGTGGCATAGACTCCTGAAGGCTGGTTGAGCCAAGGGGACTGTCGCCAAGAACTGCCTCTTGGGGAATCCAGGTTATCTAGAGATTCGCCTCTGAAACACAGAAAGGGTTCATCCAAGTTATATAACACATTCAACTAGAAATCCACTTAACACCATTAGAGTCATTAAAATATCCATGTGTTTTATAAGCAGGTATGAATCTAACAAGGCCAGTTACATATAAAATTACCTTTAACAGCTAAAGTTCTTTTTAATCAAAGGCATCATGATGTTTCATATTCAATTAACCTTCATTTATTTTTTTTAATTTTTTAAATTTTTATTGGAGTAGAGTTGCTTTACAATGTTGTGTTGGTTTCTACTGTACACCAATGTGAATCAGCTATACGTATGCATATATCCCCTCTTTTTTGGATTTCCTTCCCATTTAGGTCACTACAGAGCATTAAGTAGAGAGTTCCCTGTGCTATACAGTAGGTTCTCATTAGTTATCTATTTTATACACAGTATCAATTGTGTTTATATGTCAATCCCAGTCTCCCAATTCATTCCACGCCCCCTTCCCCTTTGGTATCCATACGTTTGTTCTCTATGTCTGTGTCTCTATTTCTGCTTTGTAAATAAGATCGTTATGCACTTGACATTAATTCTGATCTACAAAGATTGACTCCAAATTATGAGGGTTTTTTTCCTACCTGGTCAATTTTGTTGTTATTACTTTTAAAACTTTCTCTCTTATCCCAAGTTTGAAATATGTATTTTTTTCAAATTATAAAAGTATTATATCATCATGATGAGAAAGACCCAAGCAATACAGCAGGGTATATACACTTTTACTTACAATTTACCTGCCCTAATCCCCAGAGGTAACCACTGTTAACTGTGTATCCTTCTAGACTTTTTCCTCACACATGCAAGTATATATTTGCATTCATATACAAATTTACTTATGTACCTATAACCACGTCTATATACATATGTAATGTGTCCATATGTTTAACATGCTTAAACAAATGGGATTATTCTACAACTCATATTCTTCATCACTTGCTTTATTCCATGTAATATACATTTTCTTAGAACTATCTTCATGTCAGTTCAGGTGATAGGAGGTACTTTGGTGGCCCCCAGTGGATCATCTTCCTGGTATCCACATCCTTGTGTGGTCCCCTCCCACTGATTCTGGGCTTAGCCATGTGACATGTTGGTCAATGGGACATTAGCAAACATGAGACAAATGGAGGTTTGATAAGCACTTGCACATTAGGGCTTAAACCTCCTGCAAGGTTTTCTCTTTAAATCCAGGTGCCAGGTTATGAGGCAACCCAAGCAGCTATGTGGGGAGGCCTATTTGGAGAACAGCAGCTCCCAACCAATAGCTCCAGCTGAGCTCTCAGTGGAGTATCAGAGGTCAGCAAGTTATAGCCCACTGCCAGGATACGTAAAATGCATGAGCTAAGGGTATTTTATCTTTTCAAACAGTCATTAAAAAAAAACAACAACAAAAAATACATGACGCAGAATTGGGTGGCCTACCAAGCCTAAATTATTTACAATCTGGTCCTGCATGCAAAACAAATTGCCAACCCCAGCTCTAAAGGACTACAGCTGCCAAGTGCCCCAACCAATACCATGCAAAGACCTGCCCAGCCAACGCTCAGAATTTTGAGAGTAGTGAATTGTTATTTTAACCCACTCACTGTTGAGGTGGTATATTATAGAGTGATGTCTCTTTCACTCTTTAATAGTTGTATAGTATTCTACTTATCAGGGTGCCACTATTTATTTAACGAGCACTAAGTACACTCTTATTTGTAGATATTCTGATTATTTCTCTTTTTTGCTACTGCCAATACTATCTTGGCATACTTATCCAAATATACCCAGAAGATAAAGTGCCAGAAACTCAAGTGCTCACGGGGTATACGCAAAAACTTTTGCTTAATAAACACTGAAAAAATTGCCCACCCAGTTGGGAACAAGAATTCCTGTTTCCTTATACAATTTTCAATACTAGATTTAATCAATACTAGATTCAATCAATACTAGATTTAAGTTAATTTAATCAATACTAGATTTAATCAACCTTTTAACTCCACAAATCCCACGAGCAGCATACCACTGTTGTTTTAGGAGAAGTGTTGATCTGTCATATGCTTACTGACTTTGTTTCTTTTTCTATGAACTATCTGTTCATATCACTTGTCTTTGTTTCTATAAAGTTGTCAGGGTTTATTTACTGATTTTCAAGAGTTATTTTTACATTGAGGTAATTAGCCCTTTGTCTGTAATGTGTTGTCAGTAATTTTCCTCAGCTTGTCAGCTGTGGAAATACTAAATAAAAGTAGCTTCAGTATTCACTTACCCAAGATGCATCTGTTTAGTTCATCCTCTCATCTGCAATTAATTTCTATCTCTGTATTTTCCTTTAAGTTACAAAAATTCGGCATCCACACTTTGTGAACACTACTTTCATGATTCCAATCTAACCATTATCTCATTATAAACAGAGGTTTAATTTTTTTTTTGGTTTGGCATCATCCACGGAAGCACTAAGAGCCACATCAATTATTTAAGTACCTGAATCACACATCAGAGCTCCACAGGCAGCCTGGCAACCTATAAGCCGTGTGGTTTTGTCCGAGTGCATTGCTTGCTCTAGTCACAGCTTCTTCGTATGGAAAAGCAGAATTACTATCCCTGCCTCAAGACATTCTTTCCAGATTAAGTGAGATGATGTAGACAAAGCACCTGGCACGTGTCTGGCACTAATCAGTGCTCCGTGACAAGTGCCCAATGGCATCTGCTCTCCTTCTCTTTCCCCCACTAAATCTTACATAAGAAAAGAAACGATGACATCTCTTCTGTCCAAAGCAGCCAGCGCGTCTAGAAATTAAATATCTGCACCTCAGTACAGAAGGAGAAATAATTCCGAAGATGTCTCTCACCTTCTCATAATCCCAGGCAGACAAATAGGCTCTTTATTGACACTGGAACTGCGCTGTCGGATCCAGCTGTTGTCATCATAAAGGGACGTCCTCTTCCTCATTTCTTGAAGGATTTGCTGTCTCTCCAACTCCGCTCCTGATGGGACTTGTTCCTTCTTGGAGCTTTTCTGCGATGAGCTACTGCTCCCAGTTCGGTCTAAATATCTATTGTTTCCTAAATTAAAAACATCAAAAGCTCTGGGATTAGCACATTAAAAAAAGGCATAGTGGATAAATCTCCAAATCCAGTGGAGCAAAAAAAAAAAAAAAAAAAAAAAAAAAGTGACATTGGGCACATATGCTCACATTATCAATTTTCAATGAGACTGTTGCCTCAGAACATAAAGGAACAGTCTCCTGTCCCTAGAAATTCCAATTCCACACCCAGAGGTATACCAGAGGGCTGCCTAAAAAGGAAACAACCAGCCTCGATTTCAGCAGTATTACATTACAAACTGCTCATCTAGAAAGTTTCTCTTTCACTATTTCCTTCCTTCCTAAATTAAAATCAATCAAGCACCTGCTCACTGAATGCTTGCTGTGACAACTCTGCAAGGGAACAGGGCACTCTGTTCTTTCAAAAAACGTACACTCACCCTGCGGAGAGAGCAAAGACATAAACGCATGCATCTCCAGCTAACATGGCTCGAGTCTTCATGGTATAAGTCACAGAATAGGTCATGACCAAATCATAGGAATGAGAGCATATTCAATGACCGAAATGGCTTTTGTGAAATTGAAAAATAGACAAGTAATCCAAATGATAACCAAGGAATGTTATCAGACTTGTATCTCCTGTAAAGGAACTGACAGAACTATAATTTGGATGAATGACAGTTAAGTCAGGTTTTATCCTGAAGGCTTTGTCTCCTTGGATTTGCTGATTAATTCCTGATATGGGTAAAACATCCATAACTTTGATGTATCCTCCCCATCTCAATTTGGATTAGAAAATTTCATCTAAGGATTTATTTTCTTTTGCTCTCTGGATTCACTGCTATTGTCTTTCTTTCAAAATTCATTCTGCCTTAGTTCATCTTCCAGTAAGCAATGAACAAGGCCACCAAAAGTCTCTTATACACGCCTATGTTTTCATTGGTGTATGCACACAGCTTATCAGTTTGGTCAGATTTGGAATAAAATGTTTTCTATTTTAAAGATGCCTTAGTGGCATAGCCAAGTTTTTCAATAAAATATTTAATAACGTCTACCGTGTGCTATACAAGAGCTTACAGTTAGTAGAGGGGAGAAAATATACATAGAAAAATAGCCAGATTAATAACACTAGTCACAAATATTAACAAAACTATTTCTGAGAGTCACACTTGTTATTACTAACAGGTCCCGTGTTTATATTCAAGAGAGAATATGATCACTGCAGGTTAAAAATGTTTCATGGCAGATTCAAGTACTTAAACTTTAATTTTAATGGTGGCTTAGGGGCAAATTCAGGGGAGAAGAAACTGGAAATCCAAACAGGTGAGAGCAGAGGAACTAGATCAGAAAGCATCTGATAAGTTGGAAAATGAGAGAGAGAACAATTTGGTTATAGTTAAGGGCCCCTAATGGGGAAAACAGCAAAATACGCTGGAAAGTTAAACTAGGACCATACGATGGAAGGTCCTCTGTGTTAAGGGAAAAGGGGTGATTACAGAACCTATTAGAAAGTGTAAATTCTACAAGCTTTAACCAGAGCTGCCATCAGACCATTGGGGCCTGTGGATGTTGTTCTGTTCAGAGAGGGCTGTAAATTTTTTTTTTAACATCTTTATTGGAGTATAATTGCTTTACAATGGTGCGTTAGAGGGTTTTTAAAATTCCTTGTCAAACACTTAAAAGACAACATAAAAATTCAGACTTTTTTTTTTTACTTCTATTTTACAACAGAAAGAGTTGGCAATCACAGGTTTCTATCTTCCCATGTGGCAGTGACAAGCTGGAGCCAGGGAGTGGCTGTCCACTTAAACAGGCGTGTCCACCAAATTCACCTCAATCTTCATCTGGATCTTCATTCATTTACATAACTGACCAGCACCCTACTTACTCAAAGCCTGGTAGGCAAACCCTGCTTAAAATGGGGTTTTCAATAGTTTTCTTCCCTTAGTGACATGTGTTCCTAGATATACACTTTATACTAAAAATGTCAGGCTCCAAATTGTTTTTGCCAAGTTAGTGAAATCATCATTTTGAATTTTTGTTTGTTGATTTGTTTGTTTGGTTTTTTGCGGTACGCAGGCCTCTCACTGTTGTGGCCTCTCCCGTTGCGGAGCACAAGCTCCGGACGCGCAGGCTCAGCAGCCATGGCTCACGGGCCCAGCCACTCCGCGGCATGTGGGATCTTCCCGGACCGGGGCACGAACCCGCGTCCCCTGCATCGGCAGGTGGACTCTCAACTACTGAGCCACCAGGGAAGCCCCATTTTGAATTTTTTGAATCTTGTCATTTAAATGTCCAATTTCAGGTTTATGTGCAATTTCGGGTTTATATACAATTTCTCTGGTACTCTGCAGAAAGCTTTTCTGTCCCAGTTCTTTGGAGGCAAGATGAAATTCACCATGCAAAATCATATCAGCATCACTTTGCAAAATTTCCACAGATTTCCTTAGCTATTTATGATCATTTTAATCTTGCAGTACTCCCTCCATCATAAAATAAAGCCAAAATAAGCACAAGATAATTCTGTTCTTATACACAAATGGGAAGGGGTGCTAAAAATCTGTAGTATTTTAAATATGTAATCTTAATCAACCTGAAATATCTTGACCTTAAAAATACTGATCATAGGGTGTGATAGCATAACTAAGCAATTGCGCTGAAGAATTCTGAAAAAAATTCACATTTACCATTTTTATTTGTGGGGTAATCATCCAGTTCAGTAGTGGATCTGGATTTATTCCTAAAACACAGAACAGATTACATACATCTCATTAAGAACATCCTTTTCATATTTATGAAGTAAGAACCCCCAAAAGATTACTTTTTAAAGCAGTTGATTTATTTCCCATGTCTGTTGAGAGCCATATTTACTTTCATACCAAGGCATTTTTCATGTTGCACAAACTAGCAGAAAACAAGACATCTCTAAAGAGAAAAGAGCTTGATGCTAGAAACAGAAGCATGTGAAAATCCTCTCCAATTTGATGTCAGTTAAAGCCTATCATTTTCTGACCAGCTTGAATACTTTGACTCTCTTCTCTTCCAGACATCAATCTTCCCAGGCTGTACAAAGCATCTGTCATCAGATCACCTAACATCAGACTGTCAGCACTTCCTTCATGCTGCCCGAGGGTCAAGAAATCATCTTTGGGGGCATTAGGGTCCTACTCTGAAACAGCAACTCACCAAATGTTATCCTAGCATTTCAAAGAGGTACTGGAGCACACTGGCATAGGCAACTTCTGAAAAGGCCTAACTTTGTAATGATAAACCTTGGGTCCATATACCAATACATGCTCATCTCTTTCTCACTCTCCTAGGCACAATAACTTCAAATACTAGTAATAATAATGAATAATAATATATTATATAATAATAATATACATTGTCATACATAGGTATATGCAGACGTTTATAATATACAACATATAATTATGTGTAACACACAATATATCACAACTGTTAGCAACATCCATGAATGGTTTCATTTGTATTAACATAGAAGAAAATATTTTTAATGCATGATGTCTAGCTACACTCCTTAATGTCTCTAGGGCATGCTTTATCACAACTACCTACGAGCGTTTCATATTTTCCAGGATTCCCTAAGTTTCCTTTCCCTAAAACCTACTTATTTTCTCAAGGTAATGAACTACATACATAAAGCTTATTTATATATATATAAATAAATCATAGCTTTAAAAAAGAGAGATACACATTTTAATGATCTAAAGTTACCCAGAAACATTCACTATAAATAAGGTTATCCATCACTAGAATTTTTTGTCTAGCTTAATGTCAGCCCATTAGTACCTTTATGTATGTTGTTTTTCTTTTCCCTATCTACTGTGAGCCCTATTTAGTCATCCTGATTGCCTATAGAGATGAGTCCTTCCTTATTTCTAAGGTGAACTTCCTAAAGGAGAAATTTTAGCTGTGAAAACACAGATTAATGGTCATACACTGGATATATATATATACACAGACTTTTCAGAATTCCTTAGTGATTTCAAGAGTGCAAAACATTTTTTAAATTCCTTTAAAATATTAAATTTAATATTTCAGGAAATATATAACTTTTCAGGTATCTGAAATCCTATCTTCATTCCCTGAAACTGACTAGTAGTTCTAATCAAACTAAGAGAAAGGCTACAATTCTCATTTCAGATGTCCGCATGGAACTTTTGGTAAGCTTATGCCATTGCTTATAACTTCTTTAAAATAAAGCTTCAGGTAGATCGCAAAAATGAACACAAGTCTTATTCTGTGTCCATTCCCCTTGCACTGTGGCTCCTCCCACAGAGATAGGGTTTTTCTCCTCTCCATGAACTTGTGCTGGCCTCGTGACTTTAGATAACAGAATGTGGCAGAAGCAATGGTGTACCAGGTCAGACCTTAGACTGCAAGGTGCCTCGCACACTTCCTCTCTTTAATTCTCTCTCTTTTCTCTGTCCAGCCACCATGTACAGAAGACCACACTGGCTTGCTGGATGTTGAAAGACACATGGCTTAGTTGTTCTCACTGTCCCTGCTGACAGCCAGTCAACTCCCCAAAGCAGAATTGCCTAGTAAACTGGTGGTAGATGCACTAGGGACCCAATCAATGAAAAGAACCACCAGTTGAGTTTAGTCTAAAAGGCTGACCCACGAAATCATAAGTCAAGTCACTAAGTTTAGGGGCAGTTGGTTACACAGCAAAAGCCAGTTGATACAAAGATCAACCAGCAGGATATCTTTGTATCCCACAAAAGAGCAGGCGCTAAAGCAGTCCTACGAAACATCTAGGCGAGACCTCAAATATTCTTCTGAAGCCAATTACTCCAACCAAATTACAATTAAAGTTCTACACACCTGTCACTAGGAAGCAAACCTGGAGATTCTTCTTCCCTCTTTGGTATGTCATAGGAATCAACAGGCCTAAAAGATGGAAAGAGAGTTCACGCTCAAAGTATTAGACTTTAACGCCTTCCCAGAGTTTAAGAAATGGACATCGAAGTAATGTTATTCCAGCCTCTTGATGAGAATGGTCTCTGAGTTGAAAACTAAACATACAGAAGTATTTCAATCCATCCCTACAGAAAACAGACCTACTACCGCCAACAGACATTTGCAATTCACTCATTCCACAAACATACACTGAGTGCCTGCTATGTTCTGGTACCATTCCAGGGCTGGGCTACCGAAGCAAACAAAACCAACTTACTGGCCTCATAATACATTTTAGTGGGATGGGGCAGGTTAACAGACAAGCAAATAAATGCATAATGTAAAGCAGGCAAGTGCACACTAGAGAGAAAGGGTGGGGGGAAGACACGTGTTTCTGACGAGGTATTCTGGAAAGTCTGAGAAGGTGACATCGGAGCAGAGACTTAAAGAAAATGAGTAAGCCACACAAACACGTGAAGGAAGTCTTCTCCGGGTACAGGGACTAGAAAATGCAAAAGTCCCGGGGCAGAGTCAGTCGGACACTTTCATGGAAGGAAAAGGAGGCCAGTGTGACTGTAAGCGACCAAGTGAGGGGAAGAGTGGTTGGAAGCCGGGTGGACAAGGAGGCCGAGATGCAATTCATTCAAGCCATCGGGGCCACGGCGAGCGCTCTGGATGATGTTGTTACGTGACAGGGAGCCATGTGGGAACTTTGAGGAGGGAAGTTAGGCGACAGGATCACTGACAGTGAAAAAGGTTCACCTCTGCTTGTGTGGCCCTGCGTGGAGGATGGATAGCAGGGAGCAGGGGGACCAGTTAGCTGTATCCATTCCCCACTTCAGAGGCATCCAAATGAGATCAACTGAAAAAGCACACGCGCCCTTCGGCCGTGGGGACAGACCTTCTGTACTGGTATATTTGGATAGAAGTTTCCCTCTCTCTCTCCGCCTGGCGCTTCTGCTCGTCTGCCTCTGCCTCTGCCTCTGCCTCTGCCTGGCGCCGCTTCTGCTCCTGGTCTTTCTCTTGCTGCTGCTGCTGCCTCGTTTCCTCCTTTGCTGGGGCTTCTTCCCTGTCAGGTGCCTTGGACTCTTCACCCCGGGTGGCCACAGCAGGCTCCCGTGTGGTCAGAGAAATGCTGTTTGAGTTTAGGACCATTAGCTCCTACGTGACCAGGGAGAAAAGAAACCCATCTGAATCTGTGCATTTCTGTACTATGCACAGATACGTCTATATTCAGTTTTAAATGATACTTATTGTAGTTGGCCCAGAATTCCACTTGATATAACGTTAAAAGTTTTATCACTACACAAAAATCACACATGGGTGGTGGAGCTGTAACACAGAAGAGGAAGATGCACTTAGAGCCTAGCGATAGGATTATTTAGTGATACAGTAGAGAAGCTAGGAGAAAGGCTGAAACGTCACAGTGAAATTGACAAACCTGAGCCTGGTATTTTCAGAGAACTACACAGGTGAACGTGTGACAAAAGCCAGGTGAAACGGGGTAGCTTCCATTTTACAGCGAATTTCACCAACAAGGTAGAGAAGTTAGAAGAGGGCGTGGGCCAACACTACCTCATTCAAGTACTTGGAATTCTCTCTCTCAGCCTCCTGCTTAGCCCTCTGCCACTCTTCCCTTAGCTTCTCCTGTTCACGCTGATATTTTTCCTACAAGATGAGATGGCATATTAATTAGTTAATAGGTCAATGATATTAATCTCTCAGTTGCATTTTGCCAGTTCTACCCTCTACCTCCATCTTTAAAGACAGAGATATTGGTTGAACCAATCAGATTTGCACCCCTAAAGTAGATCATAGCTTATACTGAGCTAAAATGCAGACTTGGGAAAGGGCAGACATTCAGAATTGAACCCATATCCACTCTTTACTGTGGCTGTAATTCATCGACGCCCCTAGCTAACTGGAAGGGGCACTGAATTACCGTGCAATGGACCAAGCACACAGTTTATGCAGGTGGAGGTCCTGACAAATCTCTACACCTCTCGTGCATAAGAAAATCCATAAAACGAGGGTGCCACATACTCTAAAAATATACAAAGGGTCTAATAAATAATTTTAAAAGGAGGACTCTGGATATTTTCAAAATGGAAAAGTATTTCACAAAAAATGTGCTACAGGGGCTTCCCTGGTGGCGCAGTGGTTAAGAATACGCCTGCCAACGCAGGGGACACGGGTTCAAGCCCTGGTTCGGGAAGATCCCACATGCCACGGAGCAACTAAGCCCCTGCGCCACAACTACTGAGCCTGCGCTCTAGAGCCCGCAA